GAAGTACACGAATTTATTCATTAGAAACTTAGTAGCATGCATCGCGAACAAAATGAAAGGAGCACTCCTATTACAATCGAAGCTACGGTATGCCTCACCTTAAGATGCACTGGCCCAGGCATAGCTCTGTTCACTAGTCAAGTAAACAGCATGCATATTCACCTTTTGACGGTACAATACGATACATGTAATCGGCAGCACGAGTCGCAGCGTAGTTACCTCGCGAACTGTTATGGCCTTGCCTGTAGCAGCGTTACGACGCAGCGCATAAGTGTTACTTCCTTTCGAAGAGGCCCGCTACACATGAGCAGTTGCCTTCTTCAACCTTGGCCTCACTATACAGGTACTTCAACTTGAAGTAACTCTCATGTGGTTCATTCAAGAGGCTCGATGTTTGCGCACACAGCGCCTCTATTTCCGCTGTTTCGCCAGTGAAATCTTTTATGCCGATGAGAATGATGCGGTCCGCGGCCAGCTACTTTTCGCCTTCGATGAAGCAACGTGATCTGACACCACAATCAAGAAACTTCAGCACAGTGCCAAGCGAAAGTGCCACGTTGACCCCGTTATGAGCATAGTCAACTTTGTTTTGTCGGTCAGTGTTGCCAGCACACGGAACGTTTTCTGGAGTTGCGAATAGCCTTCCGAGTGTGAGGGCAGACAGTGTGCGCAGCAAGGAAAAAAAATTGGCCCCGTATCGACATGTTTCTCTGGAAATGTCGTCGAAAGACAATAGGTCTTGCGTCTGGAAATAGTGAACAAAACGTTTATTAGATGTTCTGTGCGAGAAAATCGGTGAACGGTTTTCTGGAGGCGCTGCGTTAGAGTGCCTAGAGCGTGCAGCGGAGGCGAACGAGCACATCTAGTCACGTCACACGTGAGACATGAGCGCTATCTGGAAGTTATCCTGGAAAACGGGGCGCGCCCGTCTCTAAGGTAACAAGGTGTGGAACGCAAGGCGACGGGTAGGTGCCACCACCGTGTCGTCTTTGCAAAGCGTTGAAAACACTTGCCGTTTCGTGCAAGCATTGCATGGCCCGCGCAGCGTTAAAAAAGGCTACGATTCTTAAAATTACTCATGTATGCCTTTTCTAGTAAGAAATACACATACATAGTATTGACGTGTTGTTATAGTGTCTCAGATAAGCGCAATAATTGCTTTTTAATTAACAATCGAACAAGTATGAACGCTTGACCTTGAGCAATATTGGTGGGCGCTACGGATGGGATCGGCCGTTTGGAGGATCGTTTCGTCACTTTGGTGTCGTTTAGGGTACCGTTAAAGGAGGACAAACAAACAATTGGACAGACAAACAGGCCGAAATTTTGGGTCGAAGGTCCCAAGAAAAACTATCGTCATAGAGAAATATACTATATAAAGAGCAGCCACCGGGGCCTTTTCGCGGCCCATCAAGAAAGGGTTTGACCTAACGCCAGATGGCGTACCCATGCTCGCGTTTACTCCTTTGTTAAGACATGTAATAGCCTCCTCAGGAGGACAATGAATACCGAAGTTCGACATCAATTTTTCGCAAAGAAGCAGTTTTATTAACTTGTGCACTTTTTTATATCCGCTCTACATCATGTTTCGCTTAAGACATTGAATGCCTTACAACAGAAAAATGTGAAGTATGACTAGAAATGCTTTCTGCATTTGTTTTGCACAAAGAGGCACGATTATGTGGTTTAGATGTACTTTACGTGTATTTTCTTTTGGACGCATGGGTGTTATTTGTAATTTTGTTATTTTGTTTATGCTGAAGACATTTCCGGGTCTGACCAACCGCTCGTGGCGCTGAAAGCAGCAAAGTAGCTGGGTCGCGGCCCTACGGGAGTGTCCGCTCTTTATGTAAGAGTGTTTCTCTATGCTATCGTCTTAAAAAAAAAACAGTCCTTGTTGCTAAACTAGTTGGTTCAATCCATTCAGGCAGACCATAAAGCTAGAATCACTCGGCGCGAAAGGAGAATATTAATGGGAGCAGAACCGGCAAGAGCAGTGCTGCCCTCGCTTTTGACATTTTAATTTTCTTCCACTCTGTCACTTTTTCTCTCTTTCTTCTTTTTTTGCGCTAAATAACCTAAATTTTAGGGTAGGATTTGGTAGCGAGAAAAACCTATTTTTTTGTATGCCTATGAATCTTCGCAAAAATCGAGTTTTACTCGGCACTTGAATTGTGCACATATATCAATCTGGGCAACTGCAGCGTGGTGTAGCTTTTTCCACGACTAAATTTAAACATTGACTTCGATGGCTTTCTAAAGAACTACGCTCCATTTCGCATCTTTGTCATAAGTATTATTGTAATAAAACTTGCCCTTCTGACATATAGTGATTAGTGTGTATGATGGTAAGTGCTGTATCGGGGATAAATTCAAGCAGTGTTTTGCAGGATATGTTAGCCTGTAGCCAAAGGTCATAGCTAGCCGTGGCACTACAGTGGAGGCCGGCCTGCAGATACGAGATGGACGATTTTCGATATCAAGCACAGACATATATGCATGTGCCTCCGTCACTCCATTTCTGCAAAAAGCTTGGCGGAGCAGAGATACTGGCAGTGCAGTTGTCGATACTTGTATCTAAAAATTTTCGTGTAGTACAGCCTGCGCCATTACAGCATGCTCAGAGCAGAAGTCTCAAACTCATCTCAGCCAGCACGCCGCAGTCATGCAATCAGGTTCCACGAGAGCCGTGTCACGGAGCAAGGTAAAAGGGGGGGGGGGGGGGTATTTTGACAACGTTACCATTTGAAAGAAAAATTCGGCAAATCCAACTTACCATGGGAATCGATGTTATCTGAAGCATGCGGATGGAAGGTGAATGTGTTTTAATTTGTTTTTGTTGTTGAGCGATATGTAAAGAAGTGGCAAAAACGTTTTGCACATATCGTATACGGGGCGCAGGATTCCAACGACATGTTGATACCGATCGCCAAAATCTGGATGACAATTCTGAAGCATACTTTTTGTTTCACGGTTACATATACTTGAACCAACGATGACCACGTGAGGGCCCTCACGAAAACAATTTTTTAGATCTCTCATGCCTATGTAGCTCACGAACACACCTATCAAACAATTTTATAGAAAATGCGGCACCAGGACAATCATGGGGAGGCGAGCTTCATGGGCCGCATGTTGGAGACCCTTGTTCTAAAGAATGCCGGGATGCGAAGGCTTCGGAGTAACATCGCGACCAAATATCTGCAATCCCTTTCCTGTTTTGCCCGTCCCTTAATTTAGTCTGTTTTGATACAGTGCACGTAAGTCGACTGGCCCTGCTAGGAGCTTAGGGAGAAGTAACACCGTTTGCCTGCCCCACGATGCGAGAAATATACCATAGTGTGTCACAACGACTCGTTATCGACTAACACGGCGCATGAATAGCTGTTGTATTTGTGATTTGATATGCAGAATCATTTTCCTGCTGATTCTAAACCTTCCTTATCACCTCTCCCAGCAACTCGTCGACTCGTCGGCACCAAAAATAACGAAAGTCTCATCTTAGCTTAATAGAAAGGAAAAAACAAGTGAGAAACTAAGTTCCTTTTTCCAGGGGTAGATATTGGAGTTTCATCGCACACTATACGAGCCCTGGGGGAATATTATGCGCGAACGAAGATCGGTCACCACAACCGTTGAGTCAGTTTGCGGACTACGCATTCCTTAAAAGTGTACTAACGAGAATTCTAGAAATTTTCAAATTGTCGCTCTAAATAAAAGTACTACTGTAAAAAAACCTAAAACGAGTATTGCTGTGCCTATAAATGCATCAAATATATCTTTTATAGTCAATACTGAGGCGGCGGTTTCTCAGTGATGGGTCATAGCATTGTGACGTCATGGCGAGACAGCAACTGGCGACGTACTAACGGCAAACCTCTCATCTGCTCGTGCTGCACTTGAACAAAGATAATTGAATCGTCGTTTATTGACTCTAATAGGGGTTTCTGTGATTCATGCTGCATGAACGACGCAGAGCTAGAAACGCAGGGTCTTGATGAGTCGGGATAACGTTCATTAGAGGGGAGCTGGCTTGCAGATGCTCAGCAATGGAAAACATTAAAATCAAAATGAAATATTTCATGCGTGTTGTCTGACTCTGCTGTGTGAAGAGCGTGGATACGGCATCCGCGGTAAACAAAAAAAGTTTCAAGTCTCTTTTGCGATGTCTTCAAATCCTGTCAGTACTCCTTTTAGCTTTAAGTGTAAGTGCATGACAACTCCTCACAAATTATGCTTATCGGTATATTGTTTGTCATGTATAACTGTGCTTGTGATGTACTTGGAAGTAATAAATGCACGTTCCTTCTAGCTGACAAGCAGCCACAGCCGACCATTTTTCAGTTTAAAAGACAACGGGGAATAGACGTTCCCGACATCAAATCCGGCTATTATGTTCTCTTTTTCTTAAACTGATTGTAAAACTTCGACAGCATTACCACAAATAAAAACAAATAAGAATAATTAACTCAATGCACCAGACAACTCCTTTGGCAATCTTACCATTGAAATGTAGCAGAAAAGAACTGAGTACTAGGCAAGTTGGAGAACCATACTTGCAAACAGAAGGCACAAAAAACGAACCGTACGAAAAGGAGCGGATGGTACAAAGCGTACGCGCGTTGTTTTCCGCTCCTTCTCGTCCTTCTTTTTCTTTTTTTTTCGCCAATAATTTGCTCGAAGAGTAGTATATGTTAGGATATATCTGTATTATAGAAACCTATAGCACCTATAACTGACTGACATCGTTATTGTGTTGTCTTTCGCTCCAATTCATCTCCATCTTTCAAATTCTTGCGTCATGTCCCCATTTGTAGCATAGAAAACCAGATGCCTTAGGCTGGTTAACCTTCCTGCCTTTCCTTCTCTACTGCTTGTTCTCTCCACAGCAACTCACGAGCAGAAAGGGACAAAACTCGCCGAAGTAATACGTGGTGATACGCTGCGGCGCAGAGCACTTCGTAGGTGCACGGCCACAGCGAATGATTACGTGCTTTCACCTGACGATGAAGACTTCGAGCCTCTTGGCAGGCTGTGCGAGCAGCGAGTTGATGCGGGTCTCGGTCAGATCCTGGACGTTGTGCTTCCCCACCTGTATGATGAGGTCACCCTCGTGCATTCCCTGCAGCGCCGCAAGACCCCCGTCGACAACCTGCGTAGCAGTCCGGATGATTTTAAGTAATGCAAAGAAAGCTTGGTGCTCGTTGCGCTTTATTCATGTGTGAAAAGACATGAGCCCACATGGGCATAACCTTTTCATTCGTTGACTATGTAAGCCTGCGCTTTCGCATCATTGCTATTTTTCTATTTGCATAATTTTTAACTTATGTGTGGTCACGCCTCTTGCTTGTATCTGGTGTGGCTTATGCTCAACGGTAATTGGAGGTGGCGTCTAAGCATGTTGCCCTTATCCACCCCAAGTGCACTTTTTTCAGTGCGTTCGCTGTGGTACAGAAGCTGATTATGTGTCCTGTTTATTCATCAAAGGCATGTACACCACGTCTGACCTTCTTCTACAACGCCTACACGCACCTTTGATCTTTCGCCCCATCAAACGAAGAACGCCCGAACAGTGCAGTCACTGCCAATAATACCAATCAACCACTGCAGTGTGTCATCATGGGTGCCGGAAATACAAATATCAAAATATTTAGCAGAAATAGCAGAAATAACAGAAATTTCATATAATAGCAGAAATAGCAGAGTACATCCAAAACAGTCCCTCGAACTGTTCCGGTAAGAGTATAGATATAATATTTTTTTCCCTACTTTAATTTTACTTTGGTTATTTGTGAAGGGTAAGACACGTAACTGCTCAAGACCTTGTAACCATAAAAAAATTGTGGCGAATTTCCGGGTAAATAATTTTACATAGTAGCCCCCCTTCGGTCACCTTCATTCCCGTAACGGTACTGTGTCACGGCTTGTATTTCTATACCTATACGCGAAAACATTGGAATGGAGGCTTCGTTCAAGGCGACTGTTTTACAAAATGATAAATTTGATACTAAGCTATCGAACAGATGAGAAGAAAGCGCAAGTCAAAGGCACTGAGCTTACATATAATCTAAAGCGAACGAAGCATCCCTCTATTTGAGCAGAGTCCAAAACATATAGGGCGGTCCCTCATAACACTGCGGATAGAGACCTTAAATATATTTCGTGCGCTTAAAGGGACCCTTCGACACTTTTCAAGCATGGCCAGACAGTGCTGCCACTACATAGTCGAAGCTCTTGAGTACACGTGAGCAAAACATTTCAGTGCAGCTCACGGACGCGAACTTTCAATTAATACTGAAAATCATCTAGAAATCACTTTTTTTTTCTCTCGACAAATGATGCCATAAATCCGATTGATGGGGCCATTAACTGATAATCCAGGATCATTGCCTGATTTGAGCAACGTGAGGCGCACAGTTAGTGCAGCCACCGCGGGATGCCGCCACGTGCCCCCGCTCACGCTCGGGATCACACTGAAAATGAGCCAGCCAGAGATGGGTATATATAAAATGTGGTCATGTATATACTGACAGTAGAATAGTAAGGTGTGCGTGTAAATAGTTTATGACTGCGTGAACTGCGCTAAGAAAACTGTGTATTGGCATGATATTTGAACTGGTTTCAGTGTGCTGTTATGTTTTTTTTTCTTTTCCGTATTGTTAATTTTTGGGTATCGTTCTGTATTATTATTTTGTTTTTCGCCGCAGAACTTTGTGATATGGAGTAGCCGAGGCAATAGGCACCTCAACCTCTCCACAGCAAAACAGTTAAAACAGAACAGAACAGAACATAACAGCCACGCATGCAAACAAGAAAAAAATTGGCATATCCCACGTACAGTGGGAATCGATGATATGCGAAGCATGAATGAGAAATGTTGATATGTCAATTTAAAATCAGCACGACGTTACGAGGTGGAGGTAAATCATGCCATACGTGACTTCCGTGTCATGATTATTATGTTTGTATGTGTCGTTTACCTTCGTAATTTATTCACATCACGTGATACCAAATTTAGTATATGTGCAGATAGCGAAACGGCCGCTAGCACACAATGAGTTGGGTATGTTGTCATGTTCTTACATGAAACGCGTGTCAGTATAATCATGTTTGCACCAGTCATATATTTAGTCATCCAATGACGTCAACTAACACCAAATTTGGTATATGTGGAGCTAGCAAAACGGCCGCGAGCACATCATGAAGGGCCCAATATACTTCAATGTAGCGTTCGCGCGCGCACAGGGTGGGCACAGCCACGCTTCGTTAGCAAAACGCGAGCAGTCTCTTTGACGCCAGGCGCGGCCCCACGGTAAACGTCGCGAAATGCGACATGCTGCATTTCGCACCGATGCGTTACTAGACAACACTGCGTCTTCCTCTTTTCGTGATGGGGCGACGCGGGACGCGCTGAAACGCATATGCGCAAAGCAAGGCAGCGCGGCGCGCGCCTGCGAGCATATGGCAGGACCGGAGCCTAACGGGGCAACACCAGCGTGACGCGACGAAATGAACGCCGGCGAGCACGCGCACCACGTCATGTCGAAATGTATTTGCGCCTTGACTGTGACATGTAGTCATGTTCTCACATGGCACGCATCTCATGATTATTGTTCTTGCACCACTCACATACATTCATCATCCATTCGCGTCACGTATTACCAAGTTTGACATATGTGAAGCTAGCGAAACGGCCACGAGCGCATCATTAGTGTGGCATGTAGTCGTATTGTTACATGACACGCATGTCGTGATCATCAAGTTTGGATGTGTCATTTAGCTATGTTGTCCGTTCGCGTCGCGTAATACTGAGTTTGGTACATGTGAAGCCATCGTGAAACGGCCGCGAGCGCATCATGAGCATAGCATGTAGTCATGTTGTTACATGACACGCATCTCATGTTTATCATGTTTGAATCAGTCATATACTTTCGTCATCCATTCACGTATTGTAATGCCAAATTTGCTATATGCGACGCTAGTAAAACGGCCACGAGTGCGCCATGAGCGTGGCATGTAATCATGTTGTTACCTGATGTTACCTGACAACCATTTAATGATTTTTCTGTTAGGGCCTGTCGCTTGTGTTCACCAAGCAATCATGTCATACCATACCAGTTTTTGAACATGCCATGTGAACGAAACCACTGCAAGGGCTGCAGGACCATAAAATGTAAAACATGACATTCATGAGCTGAACGAAAATGTCTTTATAAAAAATACCACGCATTGCAAACAAGCGCTTTCCGCAACGCATGCAGTTTTGTCAAGAACAGTGGTGCAAATACAGCAAAAGCATATACGCGACCACATCTTGCCATTGCGTTCATTTCATTTTAATTTTTTGAATATTGGTTTTGGTTCAAATTCATGCTTCGAAGGTTTTAAATCATGCTTCGAAATAAAACTTGGAGGATGCTTGAGATTCGCCTTCAAGAGCAGAACGCGATAGCGTAATTGGACCCTGTTCGCATCACCTTTTCAATCGCTAGCCTCACACGGCTTCACGATGAAAACGCAAACCATGCCGCAAGAAAAGGAATGTATGTGCGCCTGTAACTTGGCCCTTTCAAACTATTCTAAAATGTCTACTGCAAGTACATTTGCGAAGTGCCCACTATACGACATATTTTTCTCTTTCGCAGGTTGGCGAGGTGCCTACAGGTCCGTAAGGCAAAAATGCGCACCTGCGCAGCTGCACTCGTTACTGATGCTGTTGTTGATTCTGTGACATTATATACCAAGACAAAAACCTGTAAGTAACGGCATACAAGGATGTCAGGCTGGACGGACCATCGGCAACACGACTTTATCGTCTTTTCCGCGAGCTCATTTTCGTCCTCCATTCAACAGCGGCACATACAAGTCTGCCAGCATCAATAGAAACAATACTAGAAGAACTTATACTAATGGCAATATTGGTAATTTATTACGCAGTTGTGCTTTGGAGGAACGATTGGAGGATCACGAGAGAGGCCTTTGCCCTGCAGTGGGCGTAGACAGGCTCATGATGATGATGTGCATTATAACTGATGGGTCTTTAACTCAACCCCTCGTATAGCGCAAGTCTCATGTTTGGCGTCTGTTGTGATTGTACGCTTTGATATGGGGGGTTTAACGTCACAAAACCACCATATGATTATGAGAGACGCCGTAGTGGAGGGCTCCGGAAATTTCGACCACCTGGGGTTCTTTAACGTGCACCCGAATCTGAGCACACGGGCCTACAACATTACCGCCTCCATCGAAAATGCAGCCGCCGCAGCCGGGATTTGATCCCGCGACCAGCGAGTCAGCAGCCGAGTACCTTAGCCACTAGACCACCACGGCGGGCTGATTCTACACTTTTAATGGCCACGAAATATTTCATCTGTTAATGAAACTCCTCAATAATATTCAAGTACTGCTGCTTTCCAGAGCTATTCTGAGCGTGGGCATGGCTTCGTGCTAAAATAGTTGCTTGCCACGCAGAAGTCGTGCGTTTGATTCTCAGTCGAACCTAAGATTTCTTTAGATGTTGAATTTTATATTATAGACAACACTGATTTTACAACGTGATTTTACAACGTGATTTTACAACGTGATTTTACAACGTGATTTTACAATAGTGCCTTTACAACGAAAAGTCGCTTTCATTATTGTACTTTGAAAAAGCTTCAGATTCCTAGTTTACCTCTGAGGAGAGGGCACTATTCTTAACTCTCCGTCAACTAAAAAAGATATTTGAAAGACCAATCTCAAAGAGCGTTAGGCATTTGCAAAGAGTGCCCCCCCCCCCCCCTAATCTGAAAACGTTAAAGGAGCCCCTACTCCCTCCTCCCCCCCCCCCCTCTCCCTTGACATCGTTGAGAAGCTTGACGCCTTTTCACAGTACGTAAGAGTGTTGCCGAGTCGTCATTATGCTATTCGTATTGGCAAGAATAATTACTGCCCGCTGTGGTAGCAGGTGGTGCGCAAATAAACTCCGTGACATGGATTTGATCCTCGGCCGGATTTCGAAGGGGGCGAGAAGCAAAAACGCCCATGAACTGAAATTGAAGCCCACGCTTAAGAACGCAAGCGGCCGAAATTTGGAGTCCTACATTACTGCATGCCTGAAACATACCGCCATTTTTACACATAAAATCGCATGATTCAAAGATACTACGAACTAGTATCTCAGATTATGCAGCAACTTTTCTTACGCTCCAAAAAAACTGTATTTGTAAGGAAACTGCGTAATTCAAATGCAGCTGTACAGCAGTGCGATCCACTCTGCAAGGCACGCTCGTAATTTGTGTGTATACGCGTGCGCTGTTCTCCATGGCGCACGCGCACAAGGCATTTCCGGATTAAGCGTCGAAGTGGATCACTCACCGCGCTTCACTGAAATATACTGAAGGATTACCCGAGGAGTTTGGCTCAAGGTTCCGAAACTTAGTTGAAGTGATAGTACTGGGCAAGCATGATATAGCTTTCGCAGAGTTCATAATTTATACACTTCTATGAATGCACTCCCTGTTTCGTGGAAGACCGTGTATAGCTCTGCTGTGGGGCTGCCCGATCTACAGACGCCTTTGGACACTCGGCACACGCGCTGTAAACCTGACCACTAAGTTTAGAGTCTGTTCGAGAGCTCGATGCTGATTTGGGAAAAGGAGTTAGCCACGAGGTACCTCTCGCGATATGGATGCAACAGGTGCGATGCATAACCCCGCATGCACGTTGAAGAAGTCCGTCCTCTTTTTGCCAGCAGTATACCCACTGGTTATACAACGGCTGAGGCGTCATGCTGCGAAGCTCGAGGACACAAGTACTACTTCAGCTACAGTTCTGTTTCTTATGAGAATAAATAAATAAATAAATAAATAAATAAATAAATAAATAATAACAATAATAAGTAAACTAATAAATAAATAAATAAATAAATAAATAAATAAATGCAACTCCAAACTCGAATTCTAGTGCAAGATAAGAAACTTCAGGTAGTGAAAATTAATTCGAAGTTCCCCACTATATGTCGTGTCGCGTAATCACTTCCTCGTTTTTTACGCGTAAGACTCCATAACTTTAGTGATTCCTTCGGGTGTTCTGTCACACTATAGTCCCACCTTCGGAGGCCGCAATGCTTCAACGACGTACGTGGAAGGGCTGCTTCTTGGAAACTGACACACGATGAACGATGGAATTCATTGCTGCAAAAAATATAGTCTTTGAGGAAAATATTTAGATGCCTCAGCACCATCAAAAGAAAGACAAAGCACAGGAAAAATGCTTCGTCTTTCTTACCCTGGTGCTTAGGCGTCTGAAAGTTTTCCTAGGAGTTATGTACCAACTAGCCCAGCATGTAGTTCTGAAAAAATGAAATTTATTTAAGTGTTATGTTAAAACAACAAAAGTATTGTGAGGAACGTTGTAGTAGTAGGCTTCAGTAATTTCTATGATTTGGGCTTCTAAACTCACACTTAAACCTAACTGCACGTACCTCTAGCGATTTTGCGTTCATCGCGAACGCGGTCGCCCCGGCGGGCATTGGATGCTGCGACCTTTATGCTTGCTCTCGAGCATCCTTAACCACTATACCGCCACGCCGGAGAGTGGTGCTAACAATACATTATAGGAAATTGTCCTCCCTTGTGTGTCCATACCTTCTGAAGATTTTGAGACTTATGGCTGGTTTCTTCACATCTTGCACTCCTTCCATCGATCCATCTTTCTTTTCGCATTGTTGCAAATAATAGCGTGACATTGAGAAAAAAAGAAAATACTATATCCTTTACTCTACCAAGTTCGTTGTCAAAAACTTGTTACCTCAGACATTAGCACTTGTCATGCTTGAGCTCTACAACGCCGACCGCTGTTTATCAGCTATCGAATACAAATATGGATTGTTTGCTTTCATAATTACAGTTTTCACTTTGATTTTTTTATTAACCTTGCGTTTAATTGTTTACGTATCTTCATTTTCATCGACTTTAGGAACTGTCAAGCTTTCAAGACAACACCCCTAAGTATACACGAGAAACAAATTTTAAAGTAAAGTAAAGGAACCGACTAACAACGTAGCACGTGAAAACTCAGATGCAAGACAAGGAAAGGGGCAAAAAGTGGCGCTCCTCTTTGCCCATTCCCTTGTCCTGTATTTCAGTTGTTACGCACTTCGATATTATTAGTTATGAATTATCAACACTGCCAACTATATACCCTCGTCAAAGGGGCCGAGTAAAAACAATTTATTTATTAATAGACGAGTACGCCGATGGTCAGCTTCCACCAACGCTGTAGTAGACTCTGCATCAGTGTGTCCTTGACGTGGGAATATGTGACATGAAGGACAGTAGCTTATTATCTTTTTTTTCTCCTTAATGACGACAGTTACGCTTAAATATTTCATAAGGGGCGGTGTGCGGCTACTTCGCTATCACAGCTGCCAGCTGGTAGAATGCGTACACGCAACAAAATGTACGGCTCTTCGCTAAATCTAACTACATTGGTGAACAGAGCATTGCTTTTTCTTCAAGAAAAAAAGTGAGAAAGCAAACATGGAAGTGTTGAAGGCTTTAATAAAAGTTAACGACACGGCTAAAAAAAAGCCGGCTGTATATATCATTGCAAGAGTTTGCACGAGTAAACCCTTCCTGGTACATCCCGCAACTATTCCGCATGCCCTTACGTCGATGAACAAAATTTCGTTAAATTAATTGGTATTTCCCAAAGTAAAACTCGATTAATCGACGTTTTCAGCTTTGCGGCTTTGCCACAATGTTGCCAATTAAAGGGGCGAAGTCAACACGTAGGTGACTCCTCTCAAAATAGAGGCTGACAAAACAAGCCCGTGTGAGCTTTTGCAACATGAGTCTCACCCACGATTCGGCTACCCATGCAATATGTGCCGTTGCAGAGTGCAAGTAAAATTAACCCTGGCACCGAACAAAATGTGAAAGCAAACTGCTTCCGGCTTTTTCAGTTTCTTTTTTTTACTTGTTTTGAAATCGGTCTACATAAGTTTTCTCCCAGATATAACACCCTAAAATATTATTTTTACACTTGCACCAACTAACTGCCGTGAAAATAATTACGTAACGCTACGTTAAAGGCGTCTAGATAGCCGTGCTAAGTATGGAACGTAAGACGTATTTTTATACAGATAGCAGAACAAACTGCAAACGATTGATACTCGCGGATTACCTTTCAGTGAAATATTTTTACGCACACACTGTTGGACGTTTTCTTTTCAGAATCAAAAAGACTAAGCAAAAGAAATACTTGGAAAAATTTTCATTTCCTTGACACAAAAAGTGCCTTCTTGTACAAGCACCCCCCCCCCCTCCACGCACACACACACACACGCACACACCTCGTTTTCTGAGCCAGTAACGAGAAAGCATGCCACGGTGGTCTAGTGGCTGAGGTACACGGCTGTTGACCCGCAGATCGCAGGAATAAATCCCGGCTGCGGCGGCTGCATTTTCGATGGAGGCTTAAATGCTGTGGGCCTGCGTGCTCACATTTGGGTGCACGTTAAAACAACCCCAGGTGGTCGAAATTTCCGGAGCCCTCCACTACGGCGTTTCTAATGATCATGTGGTGGTTTTAAGACGTTCAAACCCCACACATCTATCAATCAATCAAACGGGAAAGCATTACACATTTGCAAGTTAAGTTCCTCACATACACGGCTCCCATTTGTCACAAGCACCCTAAGCATGTAACATTCACGGCTCGACAAGCACGAAAGCATTGCCCGTCGTATTGAGTCCATAACACGGGCATGCCGTGGACTCTACTGACCATGAGTTTACATCTGCCCTGGCAACCCTAAATGAAATACACAAGAAAAAATGTCAGTTTTCAAAAGGCTCCCAATAAAAAAATACAGTTCAGATTCTCCAGTACAACGTGTCTGTCATACCCAAAGCGCCGGGTACAAGAAGAACGAGAGTTTTCTAACAACGAAAGTGTCGGCCTTTTTAATATCTATATGCGCCAGGCCAGCAGCGGACCCACCGGCGCCGAGGGCTAACGTGCGAGCCGGCCCATATACGCCGCCGTCCTACCTTGTCCACCCTGGGGGGCGTAGCCAGGTCTGCCCCACCGGAGACCCTGAATCCCCAGGGCTGGCCGGCCTCTTCACGCTTCAGGATGATGAGGAATGGCCTCTGGAACGCCATGGTCTCGCTCAGAGAGGAACGCGTTGCCAGTCGTTCTGCTGCTGCCTGCTCTTTTCTCGTCGTCGCTGCTGACGCGGCCAACTCTGGCGCGAGGGGGGAGCCGAGTCGCGTCTTCTTTTTGAGAAGTTCGAAGCTTCCGCAAGCAGAGAGATCTCGTGGTCAGAGGAGTGACCACTGTTTCATGCCGAAACGTCCCTCGTCGGAGTGCGTGCGTCTAGCTTCGTCGGTCGGCGGCTGTTCGGAAAAAAAGGGTTCGAGAGCGCTAGCCTCAGCGCGCGCCGTAGTTTTTCGACTTGGGGCCTCGGGTTCGTCTGTCCGTTTTTAGAGGGATGACGCCCGGGCACAGACTTTCCCACCCATCTTCCGCCTCCCCTTCCCGGGCCACGTCGGGAGCCTGCCAAAAAGGTGTTGGCGTGTGTTTTGTGCGCGCGCCGCGTGCACTCCACTTAGTTTTTTTTTTCTTTTCCTCTATCGTTTTTTTTTTCTCCCCACTGTAGCTTGACTATGCAGCCTTGGCTCGCTGATCACCGCGGTGGTGCGCAAGCGCGTGCCGCCGTGGAGTTGCCTTGGGTGCCGGCCACGCGGACGTCTTATTTGTGGAGGGAAAGCTTGGAACGCACGGCCTATAAACAAAACGCGAGTCGCCGCGTGGGGCTGCGTGCTCGTGAGTGTGCGCGTGTGTGTCCAGAGGGATTGCAGCGCTCTGTTCGAAAAACATTGCTTCCTCATCTCGCAACCTGCTTCTCCGTACGCGCTGGTTTAGCTGTACTGTTTCATTCCTCGCGGTATTATTCAGAATCGGACTGCGTGATTGGTTCATCCATGGGCACGAGCTGTCCGATGAGGGCGATGGAAACGCTCTCGACGGCGCAGCTATAAGCCTCATTTCAACTCCAGTGATAGTGCATGCAGCCGCATATAACGGCGGCATTCGAAGCACTGTAGACTGATAGTAGAGAGTTTTAGTACAGCGTATACGCTGCGTACGTAGCGGCGTTGCGTACGTAAGGACGCCACGTTCTGTGTAGTGCGCATGCGCAGACCGCAACGCGCATGTATCGCGTTACGTACGCAGCCGCTACGTACGCACGCATGAGATGCGTGCGTGCGTACGTATGAGGTGATCGCGCCGCTCTAGAACAAGTTCGCGACAGCGTGAGACTTCGTTTTGCAAAATGGCGGCATCGAAGGCAAGCACCGACCGGCTCTGTGGCTTAAAATATGGCCATAATCTGGCTATAACACTTGGACTGGCTCGCATTGGCTGTCAACAACACGTGCTTCTATTTTGATCTACCCAGATGGCACAACACGCTTCACGCTCGTTACGTACGCGGGTATTACGGCGTACTAAAAGCCGATTTGTGGCAAACGACGCCACGTAACGCAAGGCGCTTGCGTGATGCGTACGTAGCACCATTACGCAGTACTAAAACTCTCTAATATATGTTTTCCTGTAGCCCACTTTGTTTTTCTTGTAATTGCGCGACATTCTTTTCTTTCAGAATACAAAAAAAAAAGAATAAAATGAAAGAAGAAAGGACCTTTTGAAGCCACAGATTGTGAAAAGCGTCTATGGCAAGATGTTCTTGTAAAAATGATTAAGTGAAGGATATTAAACTACCAAGCCCATGTTACATAGTTAAATCTCGTTTGCTCGTCGAAACGCTGCACGCTCAGAAGCACAGTTAGACAGGTGACTGTGCGCGCGGTGGCCCAAAAGGCAGAGAAATACTCTGGGCTTTGGACTTGAATCGTGGTTGGGCCACGTTCGGGACCATAATAGGCCCGAGCAAGCTATTCAAAACTATGCGTTACTGTATAAGCTCTAAAGACTGGAGTCACGCGAAAATGTTTGGGCAGTGGCGCCAGCCGCTTTTTTTTTTTTTTTTTGAGAAAGCCTGAACAGGGAAGCACCATATCAATAAACATCACAGATCAGCGTAGACATTGTTGACATTCTTGTGCCGACTAGAAAATGAAATCAGTAGTAACCTACGCCCCCTATACGCGCCGCTCCTTTATCTTCGCGAAAACAGAAAACATTGCCCAACGTTGTTTATGTGCTAATAAGACAGCGCTAAAGACAAAGGACGACCAACCTGGCTCTTAAGTAGAAATGGCCATGTGAATATGCTAGATGCCCGCCTGTCAACAGGGGGCAGAGTGGGGGAGTAATCAGTCATGATGGAGTGGTTGCCAAGCATAAATTCACAGAGAGGAACGTCAAATTCCGGGTTAAACACTACAAGCTTTGCAGTGGCGTGGAAGGAATGTGGAGCAGTTCGACTTGCAATCACAAAAGGAATGAATGGAAAGAAGTTCAGTAAAAGTGACTTTTTTTTCAAAAACAGAAGACGTTCTTATAGTCATAATCGTCAACAATAGGCTCTTGCTGCACAAAAATTGGCAGTATTCGGTGATCTTGCCCTTTGTATTGGCTCGTGTGTGATTGTCGTAATTTTGGGGCGCATTCTTGTTAGTGGCGTCTTTCTTGACCTTTCAAAAGTATTCCATTCACTCGCGTCAACTGGTGTATATGGCGTATCATAAGAACTTATTCGCAGTTATCTGCCAGATAGAGAACATCTAGTATGTGTGTCCGGCACCTATTCAAACCCTAAGGCCATCAACATCGGTGTTCTCCAGGGATCATCTTTCTTATATTTGGCCCGCTTTCATACTTAATTTATAATAACAATGTTCCTCAAGGTATTGCACCTTCATCCTGTAAATTCTATAAGGACGATACCACTATACTAACTATACAGATAAGCAGGTTGAATAAATTCGGTGTAAATGCTAAAAAGTCAAACCTCGTCGTAATTTTTTGTCACCCAATCACATTATTCCCAAGAATCGTTCTGTCTACATAAGAGAGACTCAAATTCACGCTACTTCTAGAACGACGTTCTTTGGGGTCGAGCTTGATCAACATGTAAAGTTTCATCCAGTAACATCCAGTAAAAAGCGGTCAGATGAACGCCGTAAAAAGCCGTATATGCCATTCGAGTCTTGCTAAAAGCTTGCCCTTTATTCTTTCGTCTCGAAGTATTGTTGTCACTTTACTACGCTTTTTTTTTCTCTGCAACATAACCTATTGCATTTAAGAATGAGAGAATGTGTATGCCACTCATTTATCAGCCTTCCACTATCTTCAGAACCAAGCATCGGGAATAATAACGTTCAGTGGCTTCATGCCATATGCATCTTCTTTACTCTGTTCACATGAAATTCCATCCGTACAGAAGCTGAACAAATATTTTCTCGACATTTTTATTTACAAATGTGTCAATGTAAAACATCCTAAAAACTTTTGAAACTCGAAACTTCTTTTATCAAACTCCTGTCATTTTCCTCAGGTGTCATTTACTTGTTTTGCAAAGCTCACTTCTTGTTACCCAAACCCAGGACTAATTAAGGCAAGTTTACCACAAATTTTTGTCTGTATCATTGTGAAATTATTTGCCTTTGGATACTCAGAAAGAATCCCTCGTAATGTTCAAAAAGCCTTGTGCTCGCACTTATTAACTTTCTAATACTTTATATTATTCGGAGTATCAGTTACTGTACTATAGTGTATGCTTTTTTTGTGCTAATCTGCACAGTTTGCATAACTTATCTTTATATTTTGATTTATTTATTTATTTATTTGTTTGTTTGTTTGTTTGTTTGTTTGTTTGTTTGTTTATTTATTTATTTATGGGCTTAACGTTCCAAAACCACCATATGATTATGAGAGACGCCGTAGTAGAGGGCTCCGGAAATTTCGACCACCTGGGGTTTTTTAACGTGCACCCAAATCTGATCACACGGGCCTACAACATTTCCGCCTCCATCGGAAATGCAGCCGCCACAGCCGAGATTCGATCCCACGACCTGCGGGTCAGCAGCCGAGTACCTTAGCCACTAGACCACCGCGGTGGGGCCTTTGTGTTTTCGTACTTATCTGTACATTTTGTATTGTGTTTTCTATCTGTACCACTGTCTACTACAGAGTTGCATCTCTTTTGTATGATCTTATAGGATGTTTCACTTACAGTCTCGTGACTTGGAGACCTCCTTCTATATCTGCATTCATCATATTGTCACGCGGTGTTGGTGGCAGAAGACAGCGAGGAAGTGAGTGGCTGCTGTGGCCGAGTAAACAGTTTATTATTTTGTCTCCAGAGGAGACAAAATCAACGATTCGCTATATGTCATTGGTAGAGGGTTAGAGCAGCACTTTTCTTCCCAGTTATCCTCACCGCCAAAGCATGCCTCAAGTGACAAAGACTTCATTGAAATTTCCAGTTACGAATTAACAGAGGTACTAGATAGCATTCCATCAGTGGCTCCGGGCCCTGATGGAGTCTCGTCGACCATGTTAAAATTGTTAAATAAAGAATCTCGAAAGATTTTAATAGAGGTTTTCAACTACTCATTAAGAATGGCATGGCTCCCTTTGGCTTACAAAATAGCTAAGGTGATACCACTGATTAAAAATCCAGATGAAGGGTGTGAACTGGAGAACATTAGGCCCATTGTGCTAACCTCAAGTTTTGTGGAAAAGTTCATCAACGAAAAAAAAATATTGCAAACCCATCTCAAATGGGCTTCAGATCCGGGTGCTCGACATTGAAGGCACATATAGATATTGACAGTCGCATTCAGTTAGCTCGGAAAGAAAATATGCCGCATTAGTTACGTTGGACATCGCTAAAACGTATGGCAGCGTTCAGCATGTAGTTTTAATTATACACTTACACAACTTGAAGTTACCAAAATACAATAAGGCATGGATTGAGCAATTCTTGCGAAATATGTCGTTCTATTGTTCCCACAGTGGCATTTCTTCGTCTACATACGCACAAACAAGAGGCGTTTCGCAAGGGGCAGTCCTTTCTCCCGTTTTATTTATTGTACTAATGAGTTCTTTACCGCGAGATCAGGATGTGCACACATATGTTTATGCGGATGACATAGCATTTTTCACTGCGGCCGACAATATTCAAAATCTATACCAGGTACTACATTCATGCCTATCAGCTCTGCAAGGGTGGCTCAATGTAATACACCTGCATCTCTGAAAATTCTCCGCACTGCCATTTCCTTCGAAAGACCCCATTTATACTTCGCTTAGTTATCATCTATAGCAAATCTCACTAGTAGAGCAAATAAAATACATTGGTGTGTTATACGATCGCTCGACGTCTTGGAAGGTACACATCGGATACGTAGCATCAAAGGGCGTTCGAGTGGTTGGTTTGTTACGCAAGATTAGTCATTGTCAATTTGGCATGCGAAGGCAAACGCTTTTGTCAATATACTGCATGCACGTTCGGCCGGTCCTTAAATTTGGATGCA